ATTAACAGGCGAGGACTTGCCAAAGCCAGCGACCTGCACCGTCTTCATCCCGGACAAGAATGGAGAAAGACTGTCCGCCAAGAGAATTCTCAAGAAGCTCTCAGTGGGAAACAGAGGCTTGAACACAAGCCTGCGGAAGTCCTGAAACGCAGTCCCAATGGCCAAAGGCCAACTCTGGACCCTGTCTATGAACAAACAGTCGCTGGAGGGCCTAGAAAAACTGGACATGAGCCCCTACTTCAGATTTGGAAGGCTGAAGTTCAGGAGGAAGCGGGAGAAGAAGCCCGAGGACAAGGTGCGGCACACCGCTGGAGGTTCCAAGGCCAGTACGTCGAAGGCCGATGCTATGGAACCGGAGCAGTAGCCCGTTGAAAAGACATATAGTCTAAGGAGCCGCTCTCCAAGCCCTTCTTCGTAGAAATGGGTACCATAAAGGTCATGCAAATCAACCTTCACCATGTCAAGGCTGCGTCAGCCGTGCTGTGTAGAAGGTTCCAAAAAGAAGGCCTCGACGTCGCCCTCATACAGGAACCGTGGCTGAACAACGGAACTATCAGAAGACTTAACCCGCCCGGAGGTAAGTTACTGTATCATGCATGCTAACAACCCAACAGCCTATATTCTATGCAACAGTAATAAAATTAGCTGCTCAATAATACCGGAGCTACGCTCCGGTGATTTTGTCACAGTACAGGCAGAGCTGCAACAAGTCAGATTTTAAATCTTAAGTCTTAAGGCATTTCTAAAATTAAAATAATTTAAATCTTAAGTCAGTTCAAATTAGTCTTTGGCTTGAAGTATTTTCTCTCAAGTCAAGTCATTTCCGTAATGACTTAAGTCAGTATAATGTGGTTTAAGTCGTTTTATGACTTAAATCCTTCAGTAAGTCATTTTAATGACTTAAGTCTATAAGTATTTTTGATTTAAATTATGATGAGCTGACTGAAATCAAAAAATTTGACTTACGTCAAGAAAACGAGAATTCAATTTAAGTACCTTTTTCCAAAATAATATCAATTTTTGATTAAATTTGATAAAATATATGAAAAACCTGATTTAAATCTTTACTGAAAATTTTATAAATTACTTAAATAATTTATAGACTGTAGCCTTTTATAAAGACTTAAATCTATTTTTTGACTTAAATCGTTTCTAGATGACTTAAATTTATGTACTGATTTAAGTCTTTTAAATAATGACTTCAGTTTTTTCTTTTTCGGAAAAAAACATTTAATTCACAAATCATTTTGATTATGACTTAAATTTTAAGTCCTAAGTCAGCTTTTAAGAAATGACTTAAAATCAAATGACTTAAGTCATTAAAATGATTTAAATTAAAAAAAAATATATAATTTTTCCGAGAGCTTGCAGCTCTGAGTACAGGCAACCGTAACAACAGCAGAGGAAGGGCCCATGTCCTGGGTAATCTGTTGCGACTACTTCCCTGGAGAAGAGAGGACCTGTCCTCCATACCTAATAGAGGATGCCGTGACCCACTGCAGAGGAGGGGAACGACAACTAATCGTCGCAGGCAATGTAAACACCCACCACACAATCTGGGGAAGCACCAACACAAATGGCACAGGTGAGTCCCTGCATGAATTCATAATGGATGAAGGGTTAGATATAGGTAATATAGGCGCAGAACCCACTTTCGTAACATCAGTCAGGCGTGAAATCCTTGATCTCACTCTTTGTAGCCACGATGTCAACGATAACATCACGAACTGGCATGTCTCTGACGAACCATTATGTTCGAACCATCGTCACATAAGGTTCGACATTACAACTTCGAAATTGAAGATATAGAAATTCCGTAACCCAAGAAGGACTAACTGGCAAGTCTACGAGACAGCCCTAGAGGAGACACCGCTCAGGCGGGGGGGGGGGAGGGTTAGTAAAAATCTTCACAGCGAAGGGTCTTGACCTGGCGGTAGGGCGAAGGAACTGGTAACATATGAGAGAATTAAATGGGCCATAGGCGAGTTCCACCGCTTTGAATCGCCAGGCCCGCATGGAAGATACCCAGCACTGCTCCAGAAGGGTCAGGACATACTAATGCCACACCTACGCAACATTTTCAGAGCATACTTTGCTTGGGGCTAGACAAAATGCCCAAGGCATACAGACTTATGTCTATCCTCGTTCCTGCACAAAATATTGGAAAAAATTGTGGATAGATACATCAGGGAACTCATACTGACACTATCCTCTAAGCGATCGCTAGTTTGCCAGGAAACCAGGAAAGTCTACTGACTCCGCACTGGAACCTAAACAGACTCCTGACAAAGTCAATTGATGACAGAGAGGTGGCGCTTAACAACGTTCCAATAACATCACTAATGAATGCACTCAAGCGTAGGAATATCCCTTATACCGTAACAACTGGATAGAAGCCAGCCTAAGAAACAGCGTAATTACATCTACTCTGGGTGAGGACACAGTAGAAGTAATAGTGGGAAAGGGCTGCCCACAGGCAGGCATTTCATCGCCATTGTATTGGGCGATCCTGGTCGTGGATCTCCTGGCAAAAATGGCCAAGGAAAGATTCTTCTCTCAGCTACGCGTATGATATAGTCCTGGTACTCAGGGGTAGGCATCTAGAACATGTCTCAGAAAGAACTCAAAAAGCAGTGAACATATTAGACAACTGGTGCAGGAATGAAGGCTTGTCGGTTAATCCGCAGAAAACCGTATTTTTCTCGTTCACAAAGAAAAGAGAACTAAGAGGACTTCGATGTCCTAAGCTAAATGGAGTGGAAATCCCCTTCTAAAAAGAGGTCAAATATCTAGGATTTATTTTCACCTCAATAAAGTTGTCCATAAGGCTAAAATTTCTGCAGAAGGCTGTAGACCGTAGCCTTGGAGGTGCTTCTAAACCTGCCACCACTACATATCTACATGCGCCTTTACTGTAAAGGCGGTACTATACAGACTGAAGCAAGGCCAGGGTCCCATTATAAAACACTAAAGGTCATTAGCTGGAAAATAGAGGAGGATCCAGAGGTCAGCTCACTGTTCGAGATGCCCTCAGACAATACAACGCCTATTTTCATCTTCAGCAGGCACTTCCGAGTTGCCATACCAGATAGGGAAGACTGGAAGAAAGTTCCTCCAATTAAAGTAGACCATATCTGGTACACCGATGGCGCCAAGACCAGCAAGGGGGTCGGCATCTACGGGGACAGACCTAGTCTCGGACAGCATGTCACGGTGTTTCAGGCGGAGATCGCGGAAAGTTAAGAGTAAAAACATCATTATTTACTCGGACAGCCAGGCGGCCCTAAATTCTAGAGGCAATCAGCTCCCGAAAGAACAGCTCCAAGCTGGTTGGGGCCTCTAAACGTGCCCTAGAGGAGGTGGGCCTGTTCAATAAACTTACCATTGCCTGGACAAAATACTAAAACAATGAAGTTTACAGCCCTCTATTAAAAAAGCTTAAAAATATAAAATTGAATAATTGAATTTGTTTTTTTCTGAAATTGAGTAAAGTATGTAGAGTCATTTAAGGATGATCAGGGCACTTTAGTTGAAAAATTAAAATTTAATTTAAGAACAAAATTTGGACAAAACTCAATTCAAAAGTGGTGAATTAGGACGTAAAAGAATCTGTAGAATCCGAAAAACAAAAAAATATACAGGGTGTGCGATTTAAAAATCAAAAGTTCCGGTCATTTTCGGTGAAATCGAAAATTATATCATCTGTTTAGGTTGGATTCCAGTAAATAGAAAGTTCAACTTTTTGGAGCTTTTTTTGAATAAAAAGATTTGAGAAATTGATTTTTAATTTCTTCTCTATCTCTAGGGTAAATTAAATATTGGGATGGATACTTCAAATGTGAAATCAATATTAGGTTGCTCCGAAAACATTTTACTTCGGAGCAGTAAAATGGAAGCTTGTGTAAGCACACATTAATTGGGTAATCTAATCCGCATTTATTTATGCACTTATTTAGTCCATAATATCGAACAAAAAATATAAAAAGAACAAATTGGTGCAAATTATGAACAAAGTATGCTCCTGGAGTCCCTGGAGGTAATTCCCGAACTCGATCCTTGACGCTGCCATCTAGCGAGAAGAAACCGCAAAATTAATAACGACATTATAAAAGCGCTGATTGACGCTGCTGCCTCTAGCGAAAAAAAAAACGAACAAATTACCCCGTGAAGAAACATGAATGACTTCTGTGTCAAGTGTTGACGGAAATAACGTTCAAATCATATACCGCTTGAAGATAAATCTATTTATTATTGTCTTTATTCTTTAATACTTTATACTCCATAATGCAATCGATATTTGTGACTTATAAAAATGTCGTATACCTCAATAATAGTTATTTTTTATACAAGACGATAAAATGGTAGTTTATCGTTCACCGGAAAAGTTAATTCACGAGCGGAATCGCGAGTGAATTAATTCCGGGAGACGATAATGGCATTTTATCGTCGTGTGTAAAACAAAGTTTTTTTCCATAGCCTAATTATGGGCGCCTGTACTATCAAAAATATTTAAAAATTATTTGAGTCGAACACTTTTGCATAAGTAGAAATTCGTTTGATCAACTTTGACAAATAAATAAAAAACAAAATATGTATAAAGTTTGTTTTTTATTTAAAGATAATTCTCCAAGTCAAAAATTTAGTAACTATGTTGGCAACACAAGCCTTTTCTACATAAAAAATTTGAAAGCATTGACAATTTTACATTGTATTGCCAACATAATGTCATTTTGACTTTTATCTTTTAAAAAAAAATAGACTGTATATTTTTGACCGTTTGACAAAATAAACGTCTTTATCTATCCTTGCTGTTAAAGTGTCATTTAATCTACCCTTGCGGTTAAAGTACTACTTTATCTACTATTTTTAGTAGATTAAAGGCTACTTTACCGCAGTAGCTATGAAAAAAAATAAATAAAAACAATGATAAAAACTTGGAAACACAACGCATTCAAAATAATATTTTGTGATGTTGCAAAAACGTAACAAAGGTCTCTTACCTTTAAAAACAGAAGCTATTTTGAAAGGCCTCAGTGCTATTTTTCCTTTTTGACCAAGCCAGCTAAACATAGATCCTAAACAATTTCCCATAATTCGTTGCATGGCTCTATGAGTGATATCGTTTAAGTGACCTCCTCCGATTTGTTTAATATATTCCACCTGAAAAACAAATATGTCATGCAAAGTTCACAAATGGACGCCGAATAGCGCACCAGATTGTTATATTTTTCTGGATCATTCAGCAACTGTTCCAAAATATCTAGTTGATCGGTTGACATCAAAGGAAAAATTACACCAAAATCGTCCAATTCTACTTTTTCTTTTGTGACTGCTCTATTGATATTTGTGACCATGTAGGTTAGTCTCGATATTTCTGCTTGCATGCAGCTCAATTTTACATTCATTTTCTTCAGAAGAGTTTTCGGCAAATCTAAAAAAAAAAAATAGTTAGAAATCAAGAATAAAAAAAAATAAAAAATAAAAGGCAAACATAGAAAAATAATTCACAAAATATATATATATTTCCCAAGATACTTCAACTGTTACATAAGCAGATGTTTCTATACATTAATAGGTAAAAATCATCTTTAATAACGATTTTTGTGGCTATTTCGGTTTTAGGCACGCGCACTACCTTGAAAGAGGAGGGTCAGAATTTATAACGATAAAAAAAAAACTTTGTTTACGCGAATAACTTTCTTTAGTTATTTTTTTCTGTTAACTTGACACTAGGTGATTGGGAAACACGCGATCTCTGACTTTATGCTATGACAGCGTCACTTTCTAACCTCATATATTTAGATTTTATGTTATACGGATACCACAGGATAAATATCCACAAATATCGCTATTAATAAATCCATTCCAAAAACTCGTGTTTATTTGCTTTTCGTTATCTCGAATGTAACTTGTAACTTAATTTTCGTAATTTTTGATGTTATTTTAACTGGTTCAAAATGCCCCTAATTTGTCACAATAAGTTGTATAAACACGAATCGGTCTCAAACCCTCATAGTTTCCTTTGAAAGTTCTTGCGTGAGTGTGTTCAATTGCTTTAATATTAATTCGTTGCCCACTGGTGGACACTCGTACTTTGCATTTGTAAGTACACTCTTGGGTACATCTCCAAACACTTGTTCTGGGTTTCCTTACTTGTAGTTTGAATTCATAGCCATCGATTATCATTATTGGATATTTTCTTCCTTTAATAAAGTATACCTCAGTAACTAAAAAAGAACTCAGTTTATTGCTGTTTCAAAACCATAAAATTTAAAGGAATATTAATATCTAATAATAAATAAGATAACAGTAGATGAGTTTCTTATGAATCAACTTTTGATTAGCATTAGAGTATACATATCGGTCTAACAAATCAAGGTTACTTCTTGACGTGCTGGGAGCTCACAAACAATTTTAAGTTAACTCTTGCCTCACTGATATATGAGGTTGCTTCCAGTAATTGTAACAATCAACAATCACAGCTTCTGCTTTTGGAGTTGGGTTTAAGTTAATCCTGTGTTTTACATGCTGCAAAAGATATTCGGAGTAGTTTTCCATTCTTAGACAGTCACAAGTTAATTTTCGATCGTGGAAGGCTTGAATAACATTTTATATCTTAAAGCCAGACATTTCAGCCAAGATGAACACAGTTGTTATATTCTGAAACCGCGCATTGAATTGTTTAATATGAGGTTGCACATCACAAAAATCCAAAGAAATTCCTATTATGACGTTTATCCTTTGTATCATATTGTAAAATTGGGTCAGCTCACTTATTCAAATTTTAGTCATTCGGCCTCCACAATTTAATTTATTCTTCAAGCCAATGATTCGGACTCATCATAAAAACAATTATAAATACGATCACTATTCTGTTTACAGTTAGAAATATGGAAGGTATCTACTTACCGCGAAAGGTTGTACCTCCCTTTTATCTCTGGTATTCAGCTAAATGAATCAGATCCCAAGAAACGGGTATAGGAGTGTTGTTAGTTGCTACCCCCTTACCTGTTTGTGATAATTGAGTAGCAAGTAATGGTCCCGTGGGACTGTTTACGCACCAAAAAATCCACACGGACATTCGATTCGACATTGGCCTCTCATTCTTTTCGAAGGGTGGCTCCTCAGACCGGTGTGATAGACAAAGAAGCCTTTTTTGTCCACGTTCTTATTTCGAAGGTAATGAGATGTTGATTTGTTACTTTGAGACTGCGTTTTTTATGTCGGACATATTGATTCTTTCACGATTTTTGATATTGTAACTTTGAAGTTTACACCATGGTTAAATAAAAAGGCTAAGAACCATATCGGCAAATTGTGAATATTTTAGTTTTCCAAATTGATAAAACCCTGTAAGTAGATTTATATTTGAAGAGTATAACTTCTAAAGGGTCTAAGTTCCATCTTGATAATCTTTGGGATAATGTTTGGAAATGGTTCCAAGTCTCAACCCCAATACAATCAAAAACGGTTTATGTGGCAACAATACAAGTATTTGGTTCTGATATTGATTTAAAGGTGGTGAAGGATGTAAGTAAAAGCTTTATACAGTAAGGGGCAGGCTACTAGGTATATAGGATCCAACTTGACGAATTTACCACCGTCCGCAGCCGTTTGAACTCCTGTCACTGTCGTTCACAGATTAACCCGTCCTAAAGATAGGAAACTTCCATGTAAAATGTTCGTTCGGAGCTGTCTCGAAAATAACACGCGTGGAGCTTCATGACTGCCAAAGCTATGCGGCGCTAGTATACAAAACCACAAGCAAATGTCATCTGTGAACTGTGAATGAATGGTGAATATAATTTGTCAATGTGTTTGTCATCAGTTAGCCGTTTGATCTGTGTTAGTGTTCTTTTATTTAATTTCCTATCAATTTTTGATAAAACTTTGACTTGTTAATATGTTTTTAAAAAAAGAGACTTTATGTTACATTCAAACAGTGGAAATGGTCGTGGAAATGGAATTAGTGATGGTTTTTATTCGCCATTGTTTGACATTCACATGAAGTGTGATTTGTTCACCAAATAAGACCAAAATTCCTAAAAATATACCTTCATTTATAGGTATTACTGCAGTAGAAGCTTCTGAATTCATGCCATCACCACTTTATCCTCAGAGATTTTGCTGTGTGGAATTAGTGAATTTTATTTGCAGTATTATAAACTTTTTATTGTTTTTTTTTTCTATACGTTTTTCGTTTTTCTATTATTGTTGTGTTTAGGGCTGTTCCAATAAAGAAGGAGATGGTACTGAAATGTTGTTGTTTTATTTCAAAAAAAATTACATATAATAATAAAATAAAATCGATTAAGGGACAAATTATTTGAAAAAAGGCGGGAGACCACGTGACTACTGCTACAACACTGAACACACTGAAGTGCACACTAGCGCCCCCATGCTGTGGCAGTCATACAACTCGTTGTATGAGTAAGACAAGGATAGGGGAAAAGGCACGAGTTTCCTATCTTTAGGACGGGTTAATCTGTGCTGTCGTTCGTTCAACAACTTTGACTTTTGTTTACTTCAGTACGATTTAGATACAGACTTAAGCACGGTTCAGACGCTACGGTTCAGCTTACTGATCAAAACGTTTTGTCTGCAACGTGTTTAACCTTAGAGCAGGTAATTTCCTAGGTGGGAGGAGTAGGAACATAAAGTTGGAATTTGAAGCCGTATTTTTCCAGGTATTTTGAGATCCAAAATAATGGCGGTATAGGCAATTCAATGCTTTACCTGTCATTTGGTGTACAAACACCTGCCAAAAACTGGCTTCACTTTAGTGTCATAGCAGAATGGCGCGTTCCTACTCCTTATGTCCGTAGGACAGCGCTTTACCTGCTCTAAGTTTTTAACTGTATGCAGACAAAACGTTTTGTGCAAAACGTAGCGTCTGCGCCATGCTTTCAGATATTTCGTCAAGCTTTATTTATTTATAATTATTAACTTTACGCGTGTAGATAGCTAAGCGTTGGTTATCAATGTAGACACTAGACACTTTAAGCAAACCCTAAATTTTCCTACGTATCTGTATCCGCTTCTGTAAACGCATCGACTTACGTTGACCGCCTAAAAGTCCTTTCATGGTCATACATTACGTAAACGATAGTATCCTTGGATGACACGTTTTCTAACCACAAAAAGTTTTGTTTTGATTTTGTAGCTGTGTTTGTAGGTTTTATTTTTATCTATAAGTACTGTGTTTATGTTGTTGAAGTTATTTTAGTAATAACTGACAGGTAGATCCCTCAATAGTGTCAAATGATTGAGATACGTTTTCGGATACAGATACGAGGCTAGGCCCGTAACGATACGGTCAACGTAACGCAACGAGACCACCGTATTTACTATCTATCCTGCGTTAGATACGTTTGAAATTCAGGACCTGCTTAAAGTGTCTGCTTGCTTATCCTGAATTTTTATATGTATCCGTCTCCGCATCGATCTGCGCACGCGCAGAATAGATACGGTGGTTTCGTAGTCCGCATAGTTACGGGCCTAGCCTGGAATTACAGAAGCTCTGCAACACCAAGATACAGATGCAGGACCTGCAAGTCTAACTTTTCATATCACAGAAGCAGAATGCATTAGCAAGTCGCCTGCAAATTTGCGCATGGTGAAACCAAAGATTGAAACGGTCCCGCAAGTCCTTGCAATCACTTTGACAATTTTGACATTTAAAACTGGTAAATCAGTAGCGCTCAAACACTTTTTTCCAATAAATATGACAAAATTGCAGATTTTTTCTGTAATTGACTTGTTTCTGCAAATAGAGCGCATATGCAAGTCGGCCATATTTGCAGAACTGCAAATTTGCAGATGCAAATATACTGTAATTTGGCCCCTAGTCTCGTATCCGAAAACGTATCTCAGCCATTGTGTCTTTAGCCTTAGTTTTTTGAGTGACAGGTCTTTTCACGTTTTGTTTTTACCTGGTTGTCATGAGTTAAGGGTCATTCACATCCACTTAACTTAACTTAAGGTACGGAAAATTATAACTAACGTACGAAACTGAGAAGGTGTCTGTTAACAATGAAGTAATACTATATTACAATCCGAGACGGGAAATGCTTCATTACTGGTCGAGAGGTTTTATAGTTTATCGAGACGCGTAGCGTCGAGATAAACTGAACCTCGAGACAGCAATGAAGTTTCCCGTCGAGGGTTGTATACTATTTTATTTTTAACCATAATTTCTTGAAAAAAAAAAATCGGGGCAACCAAATGAGATCGGCAAATGAAGAGGCAAATGAGAACGGGAAATATTTCTCTGCTCCATTTTCCGTCCGTGGACGGGAAATGAGGACGGAAAAAATTTCCCGTCCTCACTTCCCGTCCTGGGACAGGTAATGGAGCAGGAAAATGAAAAGACAGAAATGTGACATTTTCAAATTTTTGAAAAGTCAGTAATGACAACATTTCATATATATGGTTAAAAATAAATTATCTTACATGACGTATGCGCACTTATAACCTGAACTGTCAAGTCAAATTATATGCACAGAAATGCAAATTATTATTTATTGCACGGATTTTCTTAAGTTGGTTCAACTTTTCGTGTGTCACGTTAATTTTCTTAATTTTTAAGTGGATGTAACAACTATGTGATCTTCAATTTTTTTTTTTATTAATTTTCCGTACGTCAAGTTAAGTTAAGTGGATGTAAATGACCCTTTAGCACTAAATATATTTGTCATTTTGCCACATGTGGACGCCTGCAAATTCGTCAAGTTATATCCTATATACCTAGTAGCCTGCCCCTCACTATATAAGCATGTTTTTAGTATTTTTCTCGTTTTTCTCAAAATCAAAATTTTGCCACTTAGACCCTTTAGAAATTATACTCTTCATTTATAATCAAGTACCTAGGTACTATGCCAGAATTACTTACTTTCTCAGTTCTTATTTTTCCTATCCATAAAGAGCTAACAATGGTCTCTTTATGGATAGGATAAATTAAACTTTCAACAAGTTAGGAATGGAGCCCCAAAATTTAAAACAAAGGAATTGAATAACACCGGCAGTCTTTAATAACTTTTCAGTACCTATCTTTTAGTGTACTCTTGCTACATACACTTGGCCAAACATAAAACTGGTACAGGCAAAATATATACTTCAAATTTGCCTAGTGTGAATCAGGCTTAACAACAGAAAGTCTCTTCTGAAAAACATAGGCTAAACAGTTTTTGTCAATGTCAAAGCTGAACAAAAGTAAATGGAACATGTTTTTATGTTATGATTGGTTTAAATATGACACTGACTTGACTCTTTTTGTCATTGTTGAGGTGATAAAAAAGGTCGATTTACACAATACAACGCAATAGGAAAATGAGTACCAGCTTTATGTTTGGCCAAGTGTACATCATTGATTATTATAACTGCCAAAGTCTCATAAACCCATGGCAAATTGAATTGAAATTGAATGTACCATTTAAAACGGAAACAGGCTAAATATCTGATGCCACGTTTATTTTTGAAAAAAATCGCTCATACACGTAATTTGATTTTGAAAGGGAGAAGTTTTCTGCAACCATTTTTAGCACTTCAACTTTAACTCTCTAGGCGGGGTGGGATCAACCCTTACTATTTCGAATGGAACAAGGGGTCGAGTGATACCTCTTTTAAAAGAGCGTTCAATTCCCTTGTTCCCCAAATGATGTCATTTGGAAGAAAATTGCACGCACTTTTAAAACAGGTATCACTCGACCCCCTGTTCCAATTGAAATGGTAAGGGTTGGTCCCACTACCCCTAGAGGGTTGAGTCAGTGCTGAAAATGTTGCGA